AAAATATTCATAATATCTATTAAAAGTTCATTATATCAATGAATTTAAAGTCAGTAAATGTCATTCATTGATATTATGAATAACATTTTTTTCAGTGTGTGAATCAATATCTTATAAATAAGGTTCATCTCACACTTTTATTAAAAACTGTACACAGATAAAGTTTACAAAATCAAAATTGTAAAAATTGACATTATTATTACTATACTATAAAAATACTTCTAATAGAACAATTTTTCGTTATTAATATTCTTCTCTTCTACTTATAAGAAACTACTTATTTATTTATAAAAAAATATATACATATACAGGGTGTTTGAAAATTATCGGCTAATCGATCACGAGCAGGTAGAACGGACCGAATTGAATCGAAAAATCTTATACCATTTTGTAGGTTGCGCAATAGTTAACGAGATATTAACGTTTAAAGATAGCCGAATAAGCGCGTCCGGCCGGTCTACTGCTGCCGAATATACAACCTACCGTCCCCACCGATCGCACGGCGCGCGAGCCGCTTGTTATATTTGCGTCTCCAGTAGTGTACAATCTATAAAAAATTCCCAAAAATTTAGGCGGATGATGATACTTATTTTTCTTGAATGATTTCTGGACTGCTGTTAAGCTATATTAGAATTTGAAGAAATAAAATACACATTTAAAGAATCCAACAAAATAACAACAATATGAATATAAAGAAAATAAAATTGAATAAATGTATTATTTTGAAATGCATTTTAATATTATGTTATAACAATATTTAAGCTAGTAAGAATGCATTAGAAGCAAAAAAACCAGAAACAAATATAACTTTAACTTAAAAATTAATAAGCTTTTAAATCAAAGCAAATACTATATCGTTGATGATTTCTATTATTATAACTGTTGTAAAGACTCAAAATTTTTCTCAACATTTTGTATTTGCACAAACATGAAAAAGATCCAAAAGATAAAATACAATAAACGATCTTGATATATAATATATAGTGTGTGTAAAATTAAGTAAATAAGTATCGAAAAAATCAACAGTACTATTTATATAAATAACATACACCGAGACATACACACTTTTACTATATATAATTATACTATATTATATTATATTTCACTATATTCTATATAGCAAATATTGTGTACTTATATGTCTCATAATTGCAGAGATAAATATGTATTTCATAAACAATCGGATTTTATATAAGACATTGAGAAGAAAGAAAAATTTTAAAGTATGTTAATTACCTAAGCTTCATCAGCAGCATTTTCTTTCAACATATTTTTCTCTATTTTTAGTTCGTCGATAATATCATATTCTATTCGTACTATCCGCAGAGTAGAGATGTACAAGTAAAATGTACTGTATAATATATATATATATATAATATTATTTTTGTTAATATTTTTTATAGATAATTTATAGACGGAACTTAAAAAATTATTAGATATACGCACCTGTTTAACCATTTGGCAACTTTTTCGTCGCAATCAATATATCTTATTACTATTTGTTCTTAGTTCATCTCTTACAATTTTGCGAGTGTCCCTTGTTTCTTTGTCTAGATCAATAGTTACTTTAGCCTTTCCCAGGCTGAATTGTACTCGGGACCCACTTAACATATTCGCACTCACCAGTTGTATGGCTGTTCTAGTATGTGTGTTTTGGAATTGTTTGGTCTCTTGGTCATATATGTGGAACATTCTAACAATACGTAATAAAAGTTTAACATTATTTTCGGCGGATTGTTCATTATATAAATTTCTTTTATCATATTTGATACATAACCATTTGATTATTTTAATATAAATAAATTTTTCGTTACAGTTTTAAATTATGTTTTTTTATATGCTTAATCGACTTATGAAAATTTGTGATAACTATAAACAGTGAAAGTTAACAGGTAGCTTAAATTAATTAAACATTAAATTATATATTTAACCTTGCACTGATTTTAAATATCCAAGAGATATATCGAGTGATATTTTTATACCTCGTGCAATACAACCCTATATAATTTGTTCAGGAATAAATTTTAGTTTTTATACTAACTTGTTCTGGAGGATCTTTTTGTTCTGTAATTGCCCCGTATGGCGTAAATTTTAATTTGGAATATTTTATTCTATCTCCTGAGGTCAGTGGGTGTATGTGCAACTCTTCGACTTTATCGATTTTTACCCAGTTAGAATTAGGTAATTCAAGCATTCTGTAATTATTATTCTTCCAATTCTTTATTTTCTCTTTTAATGTCTCGTAAACTGTAGAATACTTTATCCATCGCATGAGAAACATTACAACTACGCCGTCAGTAAGTGTGATTATTGAAGATCAACTCTAAAATCATAATTTATGAAATTATTATTGAAAACTTTATCTTAGAGAAATGGAGAGAGAGAGAGAGAAAGAGAGAGAGAATCTTATTTATTGTATTATTCATACCTTCAATAGTGTCATTGTAAACTATTTAATGTTACTTTGACTTGCAATTCTTTGATCTATATACTAAGCTAAAAAATATTCAATCTGCAGTGAACATATGTCACATCCAGAAGATTTGATTTGAAAATTCTGAATTTTTTCTAAATTTAATTTACTTATTTTGCATCTGTTATAGATAATTTTATTAATAATATATTCGTGTGAGTATCCTTAATGCATAGAACAACTTTAAAAGAGAGAGCCTAAAGCTTTTCTATATAGAAATATACGAGTTACAATAAGGAATTAATTATATCTTAATTAAGGAAAAATATATATTTAATTTAATAAATACCAATTATAATGATATATTTGTCGATTTATATATACATATTTATTTGTTATCATTCATGACAATAAAAATTGATATGTATGCATATATATGTGTTTATTAAATACTATCTTTCATTTCTAAATAATTTAAATAAACCAAAAATTCAATATAATGAGTTTATACATACCAAGCTGAATTTAACTAAATATTTTGTAGTCAAAACTTTAAAGAAAGAAAACTTCGATTTTGTCAATTTGCGATTGATTTTGCTTATTCACTTCTTATTTTATCACAGTGGTGAATCAACACACGATATCAGAGATCACAAATTATATATAAATATATACTTTCTGTTAACAAACTTTAATGCTAATCTGATCCAGGGGCGATCCTGTTTTTTTCTCAATTAATGTTGTGGCTAACTAAAGACGAGGTTCACCAGTCATATGTCCTTATATTATTCTCATACGCTTTTTCTAATGTTTGTACTTTTCTATAGCTATAAAATCCCCATTATATTACAAACTAAATTTCGCATGACTAAATATTTCTGAAGATTTGTAGGTACAAACTTATTTGAAATGTAAATATCGAGATTTCATAAAAATGTCAGTCTTGATATACTTACGGAAAAACAAATATATTTTATGAAATTTTACTTGCGTGGGTCTAAAAAAACTGCCATTTACGTATAATGGTAAGATGCAGAAGTTTTTGGCCTGATTAAATTAAAACACGAATTTTAGATCCTAGAGGAGTCATCCCCATTCTATGTTTTGATTATACTATGGCTATGTTTTGGTTATATTATGGCTAAAATTTGATACCTGCATCCTTACTGTATGCTAATGCCGAAAGAACGTATTGTTCCATTATATTCTAAAATGCTCGACATTGTACTGCTGCATATTTCTATTCCTACAATAAAGTTTCAATTGGAAGTTTTCAACTCGTCTTACAGCCCTGATTTAGCTTCTACAGTCACTTTTTATTTTTAAAGTTGAAGTCCAATTTGCGTGGAAAGAAATTCATCAATGATAAAGAAGTGACCATTGCAGTATTATGTTATTTTAAGACATTTAGAATATATTTTTAATTGTGCGGAAAAATTAACTCATAAAGGATAATTATTTGAAATAAAAAAATGGTTTTTTTATTTTATGTAATCTTTTCTATGATCTACACAGGAAACTTTTGGACTTTACTATGTATTTGACATAACATTTAACAGTTTATACACAATTTATGGTATCTTAATACTGTATTATTTTCTAAATGACATAACATAATTATTTAAAAAAACTTAACAACAAGGAATAAAATGGCTCTAATGGTCAAAACTATATCTTTTAATACTTAAACAATTCAATCTGAATTACTATATACTATGTACGAAGTCTGTCCCAAAAGTATCCGACTTCTGCGTTTATCTTTGTCCTTGGGCATCCTATTGTGGAAAACAGAGGTATTCAGTATTTAGGGTGGATCTTTAGGAGTACCTCCACCAAACAGCACGACCCAACAGCTGTTTAGTCAGCAACGGTATGCAGTTGTGTGAGCGTCGAGAACTCTGAGCGTCGCATTTCACAATGACTGAACGGTAACGCACCTGCTCATTTATTTCACCTGATTCAGAAGTTTTTTTACTAAATACGGCATTGTTCAACTTCGTCAACCTCCGTACAGTCCAAGTATAGCCCCGTGTTACTTTTGCTTATTTCTTAAGTTGAAATATCCGTTGAAAAGCAAAAGATTTGACGATGCTGAGGAAATAAAGCGAAATGCGACGAAGGATAGTTAGATGATAGTTGGCTATCACAAAAAACGACTTCCAGGACCTGCTTTCGCTAGTGGGTGCACCATTGGCAGAAGATCATTGCTTCGGAAGGAAACTACTTTGAAGGTGACATTGTTCATATCCGGAATAGCTCTTTCTCATGATACAGGCAAAGGTCGGATACTTTTGGTACAGACCTCGTATGTACATGCACATATACCATATTTGTAGTCATTCGCACTGAGCGCCAAATTGGTTTTTCGAACTTATAAACGCAATTAAACTACTGCAGTGTGAATTAAATTGACAAGTTATTTTTAATAATTTGATGCTCAATCAGGCATTCTGTTAACAGTTAAAAAGATGTTAATATGCTGCAAAACTATAATTAAATTTATTGCGAAAAATATTACCTCCAGCCAGAGTCGAACCCGGAGTCTCTTGTTTTCCATACGAGCGTCCTAGACTACTAAGCCTTTAGACTACCGAGGTCTTAGTAATATTCTTCGTAATAATCAGTGTATATATAGAAACAATGTCTTTCTTTCAGGCGACGTATGTAAATAATAAGAATCTTACTGGACCGTGTATTTAAAAATAATTATTTTAATAAAAATCGCTCGTATAAAGCTCGTTCACAAAAAAAATACAATCAATAAAGCCAATGAGAACCGACACAGTTGTACGTTGTAATCAAAAATATATATATCAATCACCAATTACAGACGTTTCGTCTAACCTATAACCATAAGATTAGGTCCTCTTCAGTGTAACAATAACATTATCGGAGTCAAATTGATATGTTGTAAAAAAATAGACGAATACCATCAGTGAATCATCGTTAGGCTGTCGTTAAAAATTAAGAACTTTATTATCGTCTGTTGTACTTAGCTGGATACCCAAATAAGAATTCAGTCATTTAAATTGTACTTAGCATAACGATGATCCGTTTATAACGCGTTGTGATTATAACTATGTCTTGAGAGCGTGTGAATTTTTTTTTACAACGTATAATTTGACTCCGATAATGTTATTGTTACACTGAAAAGGACCTAATCTTATGGTCGAAACGTCTGTAATTGGTTATTGACATATATATTATTTTTAATTGCACACGTACAACTGTGCCGGTTCTCATTGGCTTTATACTCCTTTATTGATTTAATCTTTGGAGTCTTTTTCAATTTTAATTGTTAAAAAAGATAAAATTTATATTCAATATTATTTTGGCATAATGGTAAAATTTAATAATAATACAATACGTAACATTCTAATGTCTGTCATATATTATACATATATATCGAAAAATTACAATTTAAAATGCGATTTGTGATATAATTCCACAATAACGTTCCAATATATTAACTAATATACATAATTATTTATAATTAGCATTACCAATTTAAGCGACTGATTATATTTGTCATTAATTATTAATTTTTTCTCTATCTGGACATGAACTATCAACTATCTTTGTGATTGACGATACGTTGACATTTTTAACCGTTAAGTCGGAAAATAGTTGACCTAAACTAGAAATATAATAGTCCGGATGGGTATCATCTTCTTTTTGTGCCTGCTCCAATGTATCACATCCCGTACCGACAAAAAGTTTTGTGAATCCGCACATCGAGGCAAACTTCATATCTTGATTAACCCTACGTGTATATTTCCGAATCGATAAAATATTCTTTTATCGTAAATATTTAAATAAGATAATTTTGTAGATGCAACATAATTGTATTGTAGTTTGACACAATGTAACCAGTAGAAACACTTCGTATCGACTTCTTTGATCTCAGTATAATGATTATTTGTTATCTTAATGTCAGAGCCGAATAGAAGAAAGTGTCTTATTTCTACAGAGATACTCGTAAAGTTATGTGTGTACACACGAAGACAAATGCCTATAACCATCCGAAGTTGCAGGCGTATAGGAGAAGGCATAAGAATGAATGAGAAAAAGGTATGAGAAGAAATAAAAAGTCATAAAAAGACATGGCAAAGGCCAAGTATTTGTGTCGTCATGCATACATATTCGTTCCTGTCGTCTGACATTTCATTCTAGCCCAAACATGAGCCACGCTACGATACCTGTACGTACACATATTTTTTCATGGAGTGTCCCTACTGGTTATATTGTGATTTTAGCGTCTAATTATAATATAATAATAAATATATTTTGAGGTAAACAGAAGTATATTTTACTACAATTTTACTTACGTGTCACCAATGAATAAACATCTTTTCAGATTCGTCACGTTGCATTTATCTAAGATATAATCTTTTAAGTTTTGACTAGGTTTAGCACATGAAATCGGCTGTCTTCCACTCTGCGCGCTGATAACGTTCAGCAACGGTCCAGGACCTGATGATGAGAAAATGATATTTTTTTCTTCGTGTCTCACTTCTCGTGTGTGTATGTGTATGTCAATTAAAACAAATTTTAATGTCACTAGAGGAAAGTCGCCGATACTGACATAGTTTCCTAATTTGTGTGGTTAAATTTAATCCGATGTTTTGAAAAACCGGACCCTAAAGTAATACTTGTTTATTTCTCGGAAACTAAACATTGCATTTTATCAAATCATTGATAAAAACATGGTTTGTTTAGATGCTTAAAAAAAACCCATTATTCATTATTATATTTTTGTGGCTTATTTCTATGTAAAAAATTAATTAAAAACATATTTTATTAAAAAAATGCAAAAATAAAATTTTTATGATTTTTTTTGTAAATTGCGTAGTTTAAATCGCGGACATGTATCGATAATATTAAATCGTTTTATATGTTTATAGTTTTCCAAAATTGTTTTATTTGTCTCTTTTTTTATATCTCTCAAACATAAAATTAAGTTATAAATCGATTCTATCGGCAAGACAGACCATGAACTGAACTAATTTTTATATACTATCGTTTTATTTGTGTCAAATAGTCCTATTAGGAATGGAGGCACTTCTGTATTTATGAGTGTCACCACTCTTCCAAAAAAATTGTCACGTTATATGTTGCATTTTACGGAACAACATAAAGTAATGTAATATAAAAGTGATTTTACGAATTAATTCAAGGTCAATAATTTGAAAAACCAGTATTAGGTTGATAAAATTTACTCAAATTTAATCAATTGAAATTTATTAAATTACGTACATATGTAAGTGATGTAGGCAAAAGGTACTGTAGGCAATCGATTTGTAGGCAAAAGCAACCATCTCCATATGTTCAAACAGATCTGTTCAATTGTAAATTCTATCTACCTAATAATTGGTCTGTTTTCTGTTCCACTAGACTGCTCTAGAACTCTCTTTCTCGCTTTCGATAAATATTAATCGTATATCTATTTCACTTTAAGTTACACAAGTGTACATTAGTTCAACCACAGAAAACAGATCTAAAATTGTTCATTTTTTAAATTACTGATCTTGAATTGATTCGTAAAATTATTTTTATATTGCTTTGCATATATACGAGCGAATACTTATATTTTGTTTTAGAATAGCATGAAGTAATGTAAATCAATAAAAAAACGTTTTACATTAAAATGAAAGAATTCTAAAAATTTTTATATATATTAACTGGGCATTTTGTATTATATTATGTATTTATTATAATAAGAAAAAATTTGTAGGTAATATCGTATATACATATATAATTATTTTTCTGTTTATATGCAGAGTATCATTTTTTAATAAGAATATGTAGGTATATGATGTGACTATTACGAATTTATATTTATACATTGATAATAATATAATATATTATTATAAGTATTTGTGCAGAAAATGTTTTTATTGTTTAATAATGATAATTAATATTTACCCAAGATTTTAATTTGAGGTAATGCTTGTACTTGGAACCATTGGTCTGCTGGTCCTGCTATATACAGTACATCCTTACGTTTGAGACACGATATAGCCAAAGCTAGCATTGACCAGTTCCAATTGATATCAAAATCAACAATTACAGCTTTGACGGATGGTCGATCCAAGACCTCTTTTATAGTTGCAGATGGATTTGTTTCCGAAACATTTGGCTGCAAAATAAAAAATTAATTTAATCTATATGTTCTATACAAATTTTTATTGAAAGTAAATTGATACAATTGTCGAATTTATAAAAAAGACTTTACATATATAATATTATAGATTAACTTTTTATGTTATATGTATGAAACATATTCTATTCAAATCTCACAGAAAAGAGACGCGAGATATGACTTGTTTATTTACTCACTTGCTCCGTTAATCGTATTCCTGCCTCTCTGAAATTTTTCCGAGAGAAACTGGAAACAATGGCAAAAACTTCGTCGCGGAAATCAATTTTCTTCAAATACCAAATAATAGATTTTATAGGGTTGATTATATGGTCCTATAACAGAATTAATTATTAACTGTTTTTAATCACATACCGAGATTTCGATATTTTATAAATTATATACTTTTTATAGGCTTTTTACTTAATTATTTTGATATATTATGTTCTGCATATTAATATGTGTGCTTATTTTTGTAATATGAAGAGTTTCTATTGCTAAATTATAGTAGCGTAATTATAG